CCCTACTTAATGTAAGCTATTGGTAGTTTGTGTGATGGACCAACACTAATAGCTGCATAACTGGAAATAAAAATCAACCAGCTGTCATCAGAAGGCACCTATAGAAATAACTGTTATAAAGGCCTCAAAGAGCAGGGTAATGAACACACAGCATCATGAAAACCAATGAAGAGGTCAGAAGTTTTAAGTAGAACATCTCCACCTTTAAGCATCATACAGAATACTATCCATCCATCCATTTTCCATCACGCTTGTCCCGAGTGGGGTCACGTGGGGTGCTGGTGCCCATCTCCAGCTGTCTACAGGCGAGAGGCGGGGTACACCCTGGACAGGTCGCCAGTCCATCGCAGGGCAACATAGAGACAAACAACCATTCGGGCAAACATGCACCTTTATTTAGAGAAGCCAATTAACCTAACAGTCATGTTTTTGGACTGTAGGAGGAAGCCAGAGTACCTGGAGAGAACCCATGCATGTGGAGGGAGAACATGCAAACTCCATGCAGAACTCTGGAAATCAAACCCGAAACCTCCTACCTGAAAGGCAGCAAGACTACCGACTGTTCCACTGAGCAGCCCTCGTATAGAATTCTGTCAGTCAATCATTTAAATATGAAGGATTTGAAACAATTTAACTTACCAAGATATGTTTTATACAAAAAAGCTGATAGAAACAAGACATCACTGTTGCAAAGCCTCAATAAGTCCAGTTTGCCCCAAACCATAGAGAGCATTCACCCATGCAGAAAAAGTTATTTTTTTAGACACCCAAAACAGCATGTGTAGTTAAAAGCCAACATCCTGAAGAACCAATCCCCACGCTGAAACATGCAAAATGGCAGAATTGTCCTGTGGTGATGCTTTTACCATGACAGAGAGGCTGGTGAGAGGTGATGGGGAAATTAAATCAAGCTATAATCAAGCAGAAAGAAAACCTGTAACATGTTGCTAAACACTTGACAGAAAAACAAGACGTCAAACCTAACGAACAGCGACAGATAGAGAAGATTGAATGAATTAATTTAGCCATTCAGGTATTTGAATGGCTAAATTTATCCATCTGATGGAAGCAAAATTCTTTCACTCATTTTTGTCCTTTAAAACATTTTGAAAGAGATCCACTTTGAGAGTATAATTTTTTTTAAACTTTATGTTGTTCAATAACAAAGTCCTAATACAATGTGCATTACCGTCTTGCAAAAAGTGTAAATAAGGGGAGAAGGTATGATTGCATAACAATGTAGTTTGAAAATTATTTCCAATAGTTCAAAAAAGTATTTTAAGCCCATTTGCACCAAAACCCTCCCATAGAATTTAACATAACCTTTCCTTTGATTAGAATAGTTCAGTGCCTGATGTTTGGTGGTATTACTAATTAATTGCAATTCATGACAGTCAGCCATGAGGATAATCATTACTCAAATAAAAGGGAATAAAACATAACTTTCTAATACATGCATGGTGTTGTCAAATGTTATAATGATCTGATCTTTATACATTGGTTTTGCTGCATTTGCAGGAAGAGAGAAAAGCACCCTATCATTAAAGGGTTTTGTCGCCATCTAGTGGACAGTTCAATTTACACATCTGAAAATCTGAGCCTGCAGTTTAACCAAACTCTTTATTTTTGTTGTAGGACGTCATTTTGTGCCATGAATAATGATGGACAACAAATTGAAGTTTCTCAAGATAAAGTGTTTGTGCGCTGCAAGAAAGAAGATCCAACGCTCCGCAGAAGAAAGAACAATAGAAAGGTTGAAATGAATTAAAATGTTCAAGAGACTAATTGTGGTAATGCTCTCTATTGCAACCTTTTCATGGGGGTTTTATCCAAACTAAGAATTTGTAAAATACAAAAACTGTAAAAAACGAAAAGTATTGGAAAGAAATTACTATGTTTGTCGTAAAAGTTAAAAACAAACACCTGCAACTGTTCACAATAAAACTGTGATCATTGATGGGCTTAAATTATTAAAGTACATCTTTCAGCTTACAAAACCGAGGTGTTTCTTGTCAAATTTTCAGATTAAATCTTAATTTAAAACCACAAACTAAACTGCAAGTCCCTTTGATATCTACTTTAGAAGATACCAATATGTTAGTTGTTATTTTTGTCAAATTATTAATCAGCAATATAAGTATAATTACATCCAGGGCTGTTTCATAAAGGACTAACATGCTCTGAGTAGAAAGTATCTCCTCTGGCTGAACCTACTGAATCATGTCATAACCAGGGTTGTCAGATCCAGAGAAGGTGTAACTAACCCAGAGGTAAGCATGAGCATATAAGAAGTCCTAATCAATAGAATGCAGTAAAACCATTCGGTATTGGAGAGAAGAAGCCTTGAAGAGACAATTTCTCATCAAAAAGATTGGAAATCTTAATGATGGCATATGAAGAAAATCAACACATTAACACAAATAAAAGCTTCATATCAAGAGGTAAACCTTGTTGCATCAATTATTAGCAGACATGCTGTTGAAACGTAAATATTTTTTTCCTTTCCCTGAAGGTCCCTCTGTAATAGCTGCATGGTATTTATGACATATGTGGACGTGTAAAATCAAAGTTAGTCCAAATAGTATACCTGTTAGGGATTCTACCCTAAGTCACATGTTCAAATAGGCTATTGTATATGTAATAGTAGAGAATAAATCACCCATCTTGCTAATGCACTTTTCCTATAATATTAAAGAAAAAAGAATAACTAGTTGATAAGTGGTTGTTCCTTCAATTCCACCCAACATTAGACCAATCTCATCTTTTCCTTTAGGTCCTCATTATTTCTACTGGTCTACTTTTTCTCTCCATCCTTACAGTGGAATAAAAATTGTGTGTTATGGTTTAAATATACATCAAAACAGTCAAATCATGTGTAAAAAGATTTAAAAAACAAACCGCCTAGTCCCCTAGGGGCCCTAAAAACTGGCTTGACCCTGTCAGCTAGTCCAAACCCTGAGAATTCATGTGCAGAGGAAGAGAATTTGAAATCTAAAAATGTAATATCAGCTAAATCAGTGCCTTCACTTACATCTGGAATTCTGTAGCATTTTATGTATATATTGTGCATCTCTGAGATAAGGAACCCTAATCAAATGATAACATTCCTGAAAGCACAGCATGAGAGATTTTTTTGGTCAGATTTTATACAAAAAAGGTGAAGTTGACATAAAATAAAATGCAGCACACATAATCTGCCCTTGTGTCATATGAGTGACCGAGAAAAATTGACTGTGACAAATAGATTACAGACTTTTCCTGAGGTGGATTTCTGGACTCTTTACTCTTAACACTTCAAGACACTTTCCTAGTGCCAGGCCTCAGTTAACAATTAGGACAGACCCAGCATCAGTTCATTAAACCCTGCAACTACGTAGGGTTGGTTCACGGAGTATGTAGCACCGTAGCAACATAACACATGGTAACGACTACCTGAATTCTTTATATTGGATACCAAGGTTATGCAGATACTTACCCAATAACTAAGTCAGGGTTGTTGTTTTTTTTTTTTTAATCCCTGCTTTGTGAAAAAGACCCCAAATATCAGATCTATGCTCTTATGTTTTTCTTATATGCATTTCAGGAACCAGTTAGGGTCAGAAGTTACCATCCACAAAAATGTCAGCTTAGGGCCCTTCAATTACTATTTATTTTTAAAGGTATTTTTTTTTATTGTTGTGCAACTTGAGTTATTTGTAAGGATAAGAAATAAGTGGTGGAAAAAAAAATCTGATTTATTTACTTTTCTTTATTTCACAGCGTAAAAAATATACACACACCTTCAATAACACATCTTGTGTAGACAGCTCCTGGTATAATTCTGCATGGATATTTGAACATTCTTTCAAAAGTTGTAGAGTTTGCTAAAACTGTTAGCTTCCAAGACCTTGCCTGCTTTATTCATTCCCAAAACATTTTTCAATAGTTTGGTGTCACCTTTTTGTAAGAATAAGTAGTTTGGTCCAGGTTTTAAACAAGAAGCTGCAATTTAAATGTGAAGTTTAAGAATTTAGAGGTTGCTCTCCTCTTTTATCCACATTTCGCTATGCAACATTTATAGAAAGTTTAGCAGTCAGTGTATGATAAACTCTCACAGTAAACACAGAAATCAGGTTGAAAATGTTAACAGAGGTAAAAGCTTCACAAGTGATTTAATAGGTCTGCATATTATTACTGGAACACAGACACCCGCCCATCTGTGCTGATCTGTGAACACTTCTCTAATTTGAAGACCATGAATACAGTATATTGGCACAGTATATATTATCTCTATCACTGACAGACCAATAAAAAGTCCTTTTTTTCAGTTCTAATTTATTACAGTAAATTGATGTGGTTTGAGCAAAAAAGGCCAAAGCGGGCAAACAATAAACAAAAAGAACAAACAGAAACGTGGTATAAAAACACAAGAGGCATTAAAATCTATTATAGAGGTTCTGAGTTCTACTTTTTTAGCGTATGCATTCACCTCACAAATAAACATATATCCCAAAGCATAGACCCCCTGATGACCGCCTATATCATACTGCTTTGATTAGAACATAAAAAATTAAAATAAAATAAAAAAACCACACCCATAAATTTTATTAGAAAAAAAAAAAACACCCTCAGCACCAAAATCAAAATGGTTATTTGTCTACTTGAAAGCTTTTCTTCAGTAACTGTGCTGCTGTTTGGACTACTAGATAGCTCTGATGAGGCCAGCTTCATCACCGATGAGCTCTGATACTCTGCATAGATAGATTAGTGAGAAGCTGACACTTTGCATACAGAAAGACAAACTTTGGTTTGCAGCACCATACCTTATAGCAAAGGTTTTAATCCAGATCCCCACCTTAAATCAAGAACTTTTACCTGATACATTTGTATCTCTAATCGAAAATTCTGAATTTCAATGCCCTTATTAATGTCTTGAAAGGTGATAGTGACATTTGGACTTGGGTTTTAAAAGTCAAGAGAATCTGTAAATCTATAGGTTTCCTAATCAAAAAGCTAGTTCAAATTTTAGTCATGCTGCTTAACAAAGGCACTTTTAAAGCAGATGCCAAGATGGCGCAGAAAAGCACAATAAAACTTCTCAGTGGAAAACCCAGAGTAAATCAAAAAGACCATTAGCAGAAGACATAGTGATTGTTCTCTCATAAGATCATTAAGAGCAGCAGTAGAGCAAATAAAAACTAGACCCCTCCCTCAGTAAGACTCAGATCTTCCACGTATACAGTCACCTGCAATAAATTTCACTAAAATAAAAACCTCCACTTACATTCAAACCAACATAGTTCTTTCACAGGCTGTTGAGGCTGAGCGCTGAACCTACTGGTTTCAGATGGTTATATTTGGGCCTTTTCCTTAAAAGCTGTCCAGTTTGCTAGAGAATGAGTCAAGGCGTGGTACAATCTATCAAATAAAAATGAGGCTTTGGTTCTGTGCACAAAAGCAAAACCACCTCACAGATGTTTAAACTCTGCCTCTTTGGGTTAGAGGTGACTCCATAATTTCACAAGAATCAGTCAGAAGTCTTCTCATGCAACCTGTCTTGGACATCATACCAGTGTAAAATATAGAATTCACCCTGAAACATGCATGCATCCATTCTTACACTGGAGCCATATTCATATAGTAATCCTGAGAAAGTGAATTAGAACAGTAGACAACCTTGACCCTTAAGAAATTACTTTTCCTCTGAAATAAGTGGGAAACACTTACCTCATGCAATTAAGATGTTTGCCTAAAAAAAGTATCAAAGGTTGTTCTGAAAGTATTTGGTTTGAAAACAAATCATCCAACATTAATGTCAACAGAATAGTTTTAACTATAAGCTAGAACTGATGTACTGACATTAAGCTGCCGTCGTACTGATGGGGGGGATCTCAGAGAAGAGGTGCAGACTGGGGAAAAAAAAAAGCAAGGCCACACTCACAAAACCACATTTCTCTCATCCATTCTAATAAAATATCAGGAAATAAATTTTCAAAGACAAAAAAAAGAAAGATTAGAAAGGCCAAATGGAAAAACCAAACATGCAAACTTCCCCAGGTCTGTTGTTGAAAGATTTGTTTCTTATAAAAGCTTTGTGAACCATTATTAATATGGCTCTGGGGGTAGAGGTGGGGAAAGTCTGCCGCCCCAACAATAAAACATCTTCAGTTCAAAAGTCTTTTAAATTTACATTACACGGTAAAGGTAACTCTTTGGAGTAAAGTGCTCCTGTTGTAGGCACTAAGAACAAAGGCAAAGAGCAGAGCAGCATCTTAGTGCCTGCACTGTCTCATCGGGACCTGTTCTTGATTGTGATGCTGAGCGGGGCGCCGTTCTTGGCCACGAGGAGCTCTGTTTCTTCTCAGAGTGCCTGAAAGATATTTATATCTCAGTGTCAATATATATGGATTTAACAGCAAAATGTGAAACAGCAAACATGTAGCAGAAGTATTTTGGCAAAAAATTGACTCTTATAATCAGAAGCTTAATCTAAACATTAAAGTCGCAAACTTTTTTGGCACCCCTAGCAAAGTGCCTTAAATTATATTGTTGCAATTTGCTATATTGTTTGCTAAAAATGTACAGCAGGAGAAACGTCCTCCACTGAGAATTATTTTTAATGAGCCCACAATTAAAATGATTTTGTGGCTTCTCCAAATTAGTTTCTTGAAAGCTCAACTTTACAAAGGATTTGTTATTTTTTATTTTTTTTGGTTCTTATGGAATAAATGAGTTTTGAGTATTGACTGATATGATATCATCCCAACAGGATAACAGCATTAAGTGTGAGAACAAAAGATCCATTTCTTATTCAAAATAGTGTTTTTAATACTTATACAAGTAAATTGAGATAGATTATTCCAGCTGAGAGAATAAGTTTATGAAATTTCAAAGGTTTTTTTACTTGGTGTTCTGTTTTTTTCTTCATTAAAATTATTATAAAAAACACTTATTAAACATTGATATCTATTATTTATACCAATAATTTCCAAAGATACTACTTCTTTTGTACCTGGGAGTTCCTTTGCTTTAGGAAGTCTGGGATTGCTGCTTGGGGTGTGCACACTGCAGACCTTGATGAAGCCTGCCATGAGCATAATAAGAGCAATACCCATCAGCAGCACAGCCCACCAGTGAGCCTGAATATAAGGAAATAAATCACATGATAAAACAAACAGGCAAAGTTTGCCTTAGCAGAAAGTGTTTGTCTCATATACTACATAGGTCTGCTGCCGAACACTTACCATAATCCAGTCTGCAATGTTTTCATACAGCTCTGGGTTAAAAATAGCTTTCTTCAGTTTTGCTAAAGGTCCGTCTGCATCCACAAGTCGACACTTTGAGAAGACGTCACAATATCCCTTAAAGTCGTTGCAGGGTGAGCCGGGCTGCAACGTTTTCTCTTGTTTTCCAAAAAATTTCTCCCATTTCTCTGCGCCAGTGCTGCTGCAGGTGCTTGGATTAGCTGGATAAAATAAAGTCAGAGTAAGAATTTACTAAATTCATTTGACAGAAAAGAACAACAAATTCTAGGGAATTGGTTGAAATAATTTGAGCAGATACATGCGTTAAATTAGAATAGCAGGGCAAAGTTATATGACACAAAGAGTAAATTCTATATGCAGTCATTATGCATCAAATTATCTACTCTAAGGCTGCATCCGAACGCCCTGATCACTATATAGGGCACTATATAGGGATTTCGCCAGTTTAAATTAGTGTCTGAACGTCTAGCGGGTGCAAAAGTAGTGGACTCGAAATGTCCCACAATGCACCTTGAAAAGTAGGGACCATCCACAAGAGCTTCCCTCGCAAAGCATCATGGAATTTGTTGTGACAGCAGCGACAAATAAAGAAGGCGCATGCACCATGCAGAGAGGCGGAGTTACAGGACCAATAGGGAGCAAAAAGTAGTAATCATCTGTCTGAACAGTCAATTAACCGAGTTCACTATAAAGTTCACTATATAGTCACCGCCCTATAGAGTGATTGTGTCTAAACGTCCAACCAACTCTGAATCCCTCAGTTTTTATTCCCCTAAATTTAGATGATTGCAGATTACATGTCAGAAATTCGGAACATTAAGTTCTGTAGAATATAATAATACTAAATAAAAAAAAGGATTTTTGAGGTAGAATGTGTGACTTCTGAAAAATACGCTAATGAAAGGCACCACAGACACTATCAGCACATTACAGAAGCTGTGAAACAAAAAATAATTGAGGACATTTAGGGAAAATGAAAGGTGTAACATGCTCACTCACATTTTTCCATGCAACAAACATGGCAAAGCTCAGCTGCTTCATCCTTATCATCTTTGCTAACACAGGTGCACACTTCCAGACCATACTTCTCACATATGGAACCGGAGCAGATCTGTGAACACCAAGCAGTCAGTGGTTGGGAAAACCAATGAGGAAACTACTTAACCAAAGAACAAAGAAGCCCATATCAAAATATGTGTATCAGATATCAACATCCTCAGGAAACTTAGAATTCAGAGGTTAGTCTTCAACCTTTAACACTGAGACAAATTGGAAACGAAGGCTAAAGAATTTCTACTGATATTTTTTTTTTACATATGTTGAGTATTTGTTGCTTAAATTGCTTTACCATAGTCTTATTTTTGCAAATGAAGTAAAAAAAATATGAACAATGTAGCATTTAAATACAAAAAAAAGCCAAACATGAGAGGAACTGACAACAAATATTGAGGTCGTATTGAAGTCATGTCTCATTGTCATTCAGCCTTGAGCAGAGTGCCGCTCCCCTATCAGTGGTATTTATTCAACAGGAAACAATTAAATCTGCCTACCCCATTATGGCAAACTTGTGTGTCTGCATGGCAAGAGGTGAGGTTTTTCTTTGCTTCAGAGGCTGGACACAGTGCAGTGCGTCCATTGCAGAAGCCTTCCAAAGCACATTCAGATGCCGGTCTACACCTTTCATTAGTTCCCTTAAAAGCACATTCTTGTGTACAACATGGGCCTTGGCTGGGACTGTGGAAAAAAAAGTTACACATATGCAACTGTAAGTTAAACAAAATAAAGTTCTGACAGTTTTTGTAAGATACAAGACTTTGCAGTAAGAGAATCTGACCTGCAGACTTTTCCAGGTTTCAGTTTGCACTTTACTTCTGCTGCTTCATTGGCATTATAACAGCAGTCATCATTACAATGATCACTGTAGCCACAGTCACACTCTTCTCCGTCTTCTACAAGGCCATTACCACATATGGGCTGGCCAGACTCTGAGTGGAGATAAACAGCGTTCAAATTGAATCCCTATCCACAGCCAAATTCCATGTCCACTTTGTTATTGAGAAAAAAACATTTACCAACAAAGCAGGAATCCCTCTTCTTCATCAAAACAGCGCTGATATTGCGGATGCTGCAGATTGAGAATCTGTTATTGTTCGTTTTGTCCCCGGACGTAGCTCTGGCGTACATGATGTAGTTTCCCTTCTCCTTTTTGCCCTGCTCCTTAGACTCTCCAGGAGTGCACTCCATCCCAGAGTCATGCTGTGAAACAAGATGCATGTAAATTATCTTTGTGGAGTAGCAATACTTAAGCCAGAGCACTTCAGTGTACTTACAGGAGAACCAAAGTTGTGCCCAACTTCATGCGCAAAGGTGATGTGTGACACTTTGGGAGGGACATGTGCGCCATAGTTCTGCACAGTTATGATACCAGTGTTGAGAGACTTCCTTCTGCCGTCGGAATACAGCTTGTTTTTTTCACAGATGCCCCCAGAGCTTCCTGTTGTGTGGGAATAAGGAAAAAAAATGTATCTCAAAGTTGCAAGAACACTTTAATATTAGCAAATTCCAGAGAAATTAGCTTTTTTTAACATTAAAGCAGAAAAATGTGGAATACCGTCTGTGTTATTAAACATAACGAAAGAAAAATAAAAGCAGCATACAAGAAACAAGCAAACAAAACCACAGAAATCCCTCTAACAGATTTGAATCAATGCCTGAGGGAATTGATGCTCGCCCTTTAGTAAACGCATGGGGTCACGCTGCTTTGACAATGGTTTTCCCAAGACACAAAAAAAGTGATCAGTTTTCTTAAAAACATTTTTCCTGTCTAAATAAATCCACAGTGCACTCACTGGACACATTATTTTGACGCCTTTGATGCTATGAAGCAAAAGGAGGACAGTAAAAGGCACTCACCTCCATTGGAGAGCATGAACCTATCACTTCATGTGGAGGTTTATGGAAAGCGCACTGCTTCATTGGAGGAGCGAAATTAACTTTTTTATTTTTTTTTTGTTTCTTTTTATTGTGTTATAATCAAATCTATAATAGACTGAGTCGCCCGTAATCACACTAAAAACTGTCTGGCTCTGCTGTAAATTAAAAAAAAAGTATCTGGTTTGGATTAGTTCTTTCTTTTTGTCTCACGTTTAAGTAGATAAATCACTGCTGCAAGGTGGCACTGGGGAATAAATGCTGCAGCATGCTAGCCCTATTTATAAGGTGGGAGGTTGGACCCTCCCTGACATAGCAGTCACTGATGCCAGCTCAGGGCTGACAAGGTAACGCAGAAGGCATTTCCAATAGCGAGACATGAAACGAATGCTATGAAAAAGAAACTTGGAGGACTACAGGCATCCCATCCCGACATCTGTGGGGATGTTGGTATGGGGAGGTCAGTGAATGATGCAGTCAACCTGATTGGAGATGGTCCTTGAAACATATGAGAAAAGCCTGCTGTGATATGCCTTCTGCTACAACTTAACAAGAACAAACAGCCAACAGGAGCAGCTCTTCATCCTCTATATCACCACCATTCAATCTGTACTGTGCACATCCATCGTTTTTTTGGTTTGTCTCATTTATAGAACATGACAGGCCCAAACTGCATATACCGTAAATCCTCTAATATAGGCCTGGGCCTTTATTTCACTCAGCTACATCTTGGTCCAGGCCATTATTGGAAGGAGGTCAGAATTAGAGGCAGGCCCCTATTTCTATTTGAGCAAAACAGAATACCAGTGGAATGAATAAAAACGAGATTTTGTGTCTCTTTGAACCTATAAAATACTAGGTTCATTTATTGAAAAAGCACAGCTACTATAACGGTATACAGAACATTATAAGAGACCCAGCTGCTAATGGAATACAGGCCAATATTAGAGGATTTACGGTAACCATCAGGTTTGTAAAGAGGATCATCTGGAATCAAAACCTGTGGATCCCATTTATTTGGAATATACGTTGTTTAGACTTTTACATTTTGATCAGTGCTAATAAGAGCCATTTTAAAAAATAAGCCACCAATGAATGAATCTTGTAGAACTACGCACAATTTCACTCGTTATAAGCCGAGAGGAAATGGAGACAAACAATGCTGACAGGACATTAGCTGACAACTTGGCAGAACTTGGATATGTGATAGTTCTGGGGCCAATGCTGTAACTGTGCCAGAAACTGAACCTAATATCAGTGTGTGCTTAACTTAATAGAGAACGGATCTATATAATATATTTTCAATGAGAAAGATTGGTGCAATGAGAACGTAGTTTTGCTAACAAGCACCCCAGGCTCTGCTTCTTTAGGCTCCTACAAATACCACCATCACATATAACATAAACAGACTGGAAAAATATGAAATTAGTAATTGCACTACTGAAAGTAGACAGCTTTAACAGTCAAAAGAGAACTGTTTACTAATCTAACTTTAAGTAGGATGCTGCATTAAAAAGTTTGTGCACATTTCAGATAATGATTTTTGTCATCAATATTATAAAAAGAAAAATAAATAATTTACAACAATGCCGTTTGCAACCTTAATGTTAATTAGGCTTAATTAGTCAGATCAGAAAATGAGAACAGCGTAAAAAGTTTTCCCTGGAAAATCTGCTAGTAATTGGGTCAATGTTTGCACCTTTAAAAACTAAACAAACAAAAAAACTACATAAATGAAGAGGTTACATGTTGGCTGAAAGCTGAAGATAACAAGTTAAAAAAAGATTAATGATAAAATTCTAAATTTATAGCCAAACCTAAACTTCAATGGATTGGTGATAGATTCACATTGGTGAAATAAAGAGAAAGTCATTGACTGTTTTTTTTTTTAATCCAGTTGAGAGATATTTGCATTTGTACATTACAATGAAATATGTCCTGTACATTTAGACCATCACTTAGTAACAGTGAGCAACATTTGGCTGAGGGTCAGTCTCAGAAAATACTGATAATGGAGAATTCTCAGGACCCTACTGGGCTACCAATCCTTAAATTCACACCTGAAACTTCAAACTCACATTCAAGTTAGGGTGCCTGAACGTAGTTTAAGATGCAGATGTGTAATTATTACAAACATTCGGACAGGCTCATTGAACTATGTAAGTACAGAGAAAAGATTGTGTTTGCCTAGCCTGTTAGCAAACTATAATTATCTAAAATTTTGAGATACATTTTTACCTGTGATGAGATTTTTTTAACCAATACAACATGTAAAAAAAAAAGCAGGTAACATATAGTTAAGTTTATAAAATTGATGGAGAAAACAGCATCTGAGTGTGATACCAACCTGAAGGAGCTCCGACCCAAGCCAAGCCGAGCACACCATCATCAAAATCCCTGTCAGTAAACACGTATGCCAGGCAGTAGTCATCATGGTTCTGCTCAGAATTAAGCTCCAGAAACTTTTCCACACCAATGTTTGGGAAGCGAAAAGGATTACTTTTGTCAGTTGTATCTTCTGTGGTATTTATCTGGAAAGAAAAAAAACAAAAAAAAACAGAGGTCAGCATTTACAAACTAAAACTTAAAAGGGAGAGATTAATTAGATTCCAGGCGACTGGGTTACTTTTCCACAATACTATTTAATCAGTTTCATGTAAGCTCATTTCAAACCAATGATGCACAACAGCTTCACCAGTTAGGATCACTTTGTGAAATTCAACTCACCTTGACCCTTTTAACCATGAAGCTGATGTTCCGTATGCCCTGGAAGTCTGTGCCCTGGTAAATGCTGTCAATGGCTTTCACATGGCTGGAGATCTATAGAGAGTGTCCTTGATTAGATAAGTAGTAATGCATCCACAGTGGTCGATAAAAAGCTTTTACAACTCAATACCAGACTCTCCTTTGGATTGTCATCCCAAGTTTTAAAATCCTCTAACATGTACATGTTAGATGTTAAGTGGAATACTGGAGCTGAAAATGGGGAGGGACAATTTTGAACTAAAAAAGACCAGGCTGTTATTTGTCTTTAATGATTGGTTTGACAAACTAATCTTTTAAGACAATTTAATGTTCTATATGCTCCGAAAAAGAAAAAAATTCAACTACATTATATATTTTGTTAATGCACATATAACAAAATTTAGGTACTCCCAAATAAATCCACTTTCTTAAAGCTCAAGAACAGTTGCAATAGCCAGAAGCTATGTGAATTTTTGTATTCATAAACTCAATGTCTTCATGCTTCACTAATGAGCTCCACAAAATTTGAGTGCAATGGAACCTGAAAGTAGAAGTCTTTGAGTTCAACATCAGCTAGAAAAGCCTTTGGTGCACTTCCACTTCGGCAGGAAGTGACACCCGCTAACACAGATGTTACTCCTGTGCAATGTCATCATAATAAACTAAACATCACTTGGCTTTAAAACTAGGAGCGCTATGGAACATATGTATTTGGCTTTGATTGGCCTGAATGGACTGCATTATATAGCGAAAGTTTGCCTTGTAAATTGTCTAGAAATTACAATTGTTGAGAATCTTTACTATATAAATTATATAAACTGAATTTAATTCAAATACTTGCATGTGAAATAAATGATGCCTTTATAAACAAACATACAGTGCCTGTTAGGGGTGGAACGGTTCACAAAATCCATGGTTCGGTTCGGTTCACGGTTTCGTGGTCACGGTTTTCGGTTTGGTTCGGTATATGTTGATCGTTACCCCAAAATCCCATAAAAATTAATTAAATTAATAAAAAAAACTTTAAAAAAATTTATGAATTGTAATTATTTTTAATGATCCACAGAAACCCTGGATCATTTCCGCATGTTTTGCTGCTTTGAATTTAATCATCTGGTCACAGTACCACCACCTTCTGCTCTGGAGTGTACACGCTTCGCCTGTGAGAAAAAGGAGCTGCGCATGAACCGAACGCAACACGCGCAAATTGAACCGAGACAGTGGAACCGAACGGTTCGGACGGTTTTCATAAACCGTTCCATCCCTAGTGCCTGTGTGTAAGTACCTGGGCAATGACTGCTTCCCTCGTGCCATAGTATTTTAAGAAGGTGTGGTCAGTCTGGATGAATAGTTGGCAGGTATTTTTCTCCTTCCCTGCTGCCCGCTTTTTCCTCAAAATGACTGGACCATAAGAGCCGTCATCATCAGTTGCTCTGCTTACACCCTAAGGGACAAAAACAAACATAATTAGGTCAGCACTGATCTTTTTAGTCATTATTCAGCGGAATATGTTTGGTAAATAAAAAATAAATAAAAAACTCAGATTTATCAAAGCCCATTGTGAAGGCATACATTTTTCCTTGTATTCACTGTAAAAAACAACAACAAAAGGCTGGGAAAAGGACTGGATGTTTTAATCTCACCATCCTCAGCCATCTGTGTGCAACAGAAGGGTGTGGTTTGTTTGTGATGTTGGCACTTACATTGCTTGGCTCCTGAACTGCAGATGCCTGGTACTTCTTCATCCTTTCAAACACTGAGTGGTCAGCGCAGCCTCCCTCTGAGCCATACTTATGAGGATAATCTGGCAGATGGGAGTTAGGATAAAATAATCCCTTTGACAAGCTTAAGCAACATAATGGTTGGATTGTGAATGTCATATATATGAGAGTTGTGCAATGTAGACGCAGTAGCAGCTGTATTTAATAAAAAGCTTTAGTGTAAGTGAAATAATGCAATCCAAGTCTTCAAGCATCCTCATTCCCATGTTCGCCTATTTGGGATTTAAAGGTCCAGCAGGTGTCAGTATGGAGTGACACAGCATCAATTCACTCTGGCAATGTGTTGAAATGCTTCATGATGCCTCATCAACCCATCACTATTATTTATGCTGAGATGTTTACAAAAAATGCACAAAATCACCCTAATGCTTCCATTTAAAACCGAAAAGAAACAGTTACTCCCAGTGTTGTTGAAATTATTTAAATGTATCAACTATAAAAGAAAAAGATTGGATCCACACCTATTAAATGCAGCAGCTTTTCAAAACTACTTATCCAGAAGTTAAGTGTCTCGAAAAGACAATTGTTATCTACATAAAACTAACATTGTGCTATTCTATAGAACATTATAACTTCTTGCTCTTGTGTTCTATATAGACTATCACAACTATAAGAAGCTGATTTTCAGCAGCTGTAATGCAGTCAGCAATTAGACAAGTATGACTATTGTAGGTTTTTATTTATTTTTTTATTTTTCCACATAGCCATGCTCAACCCATTTCCAATAAGTGGCGACTAAAAGAACACCAGTAATATTCTCTAGCAGTTGACTAACAGATTCAAGCTCTGACTATGCATTTTTGGTCTCTTCTTGAAAAGCTGCCTTTGTTCTTTTGAAAGAGGTCTTATGCAACTACTAATGAAAGAGCCATAAGTTGTATAAGAACATAAAATAAACATGACTGCCAGAGATCAACCCAACATCTCAAAGGCAAGGAGTTTTGTCATTCATTACATTAAATGAACACATAAATAAATGAGTTCCTACACATGTTTTTAATATATAAATTTTTTCAATATCTTCAAGTTTACTTCTCATTTATTGGTCATCTTTGCTGACAAGCTAGAATAGAACAAAGCAACATTACTTAAGCCTCTGCTTAAGTAATGTTAATTATGCAAAAATTCTGAAATACAATTAATAAAATCTTTAGTGCTCTAAAACTCAAATCCAGGGGGGCCAATGTCCTTCAACTTTTAGGTGTGTCCTTTGCTCTACACATCTGCACCAAATGGCTCAACTTCCACACTAGCAGGTAATGGGGCTCTGCAGAGTTCTGCTAATGAAAGCATACCCAAGTAGGGTTAGTTCAGGTAGCGACACATCAAAACCTGCAGGACAGCCACCCTGGAGAACTGGAGCTTCAGTCCACTGTGCTAGAAATACAATTCCCTATATTCACATTGTATTAGAATATGACATAAGATCAATACAACAACAATATAAAGAGTAAGTCCATGCTCTTTGAAATTATGTATAAATCAAAGCAATACATTCTTGCTTGAGACACCCTTTGCATAAATTAACACATCTAAAAAGGTACCAATGTTCCTTTTGACATCACTCCATAGGTAAACCAATGTGTTTCAGGTCATACCAGCTTGTGAGTCTACCTTTGGCAGTGGGGGAGAGTGCCATGTATGCTCGTCAAAAGAAAGTATGAAGTGTTCCAGAGTTTCCTGTTAGATGGCTGTATTGAATGGATTTCAGAAAACACAGTGGACCAAAACCAGCAGATGACAAGGCACCACAAATCATCCCAGATGGTTAAACCACTAGGCTTCCTCTAACAGAGATTCTGAGACTCTCCCCTTATCCTTAGGACTCTGGGACAAATGAAATGCAAACTTTCCTTTAATCTATAAGGAGAACTGATATAAGAGCAACAGTCCAGGATCTTGTTGAGGTGTGACTTGGCATGAACAACGCATCATTTACAGCCCTTGCTTGGGATTTGGTTTGTCATATGTGACTCCATCCTCTGCCCTCCTCTGGTGAAGATCCCCAATATTCTTGAAAGAATTTTGCTTTACTCAAGGCTATGATTAACTCTGTTGATGGTGCACCTTTCTCTATGATAACTTTCTTTTTAGATTCTTGGATTTAGTGCTATAAAACAAACAGCTTTTTGGGGAACTACCTAGTATGTCTAATCCTCTTTCTGGATGCTGTCAATGATGGTCTTCTGGACATCTGTCCAATCAGCTGCCTATCCAAGGATTGTGTAGACTACAGCGCCGGACTGGGAGACCATTTAGAGGCTCAGGAAACCATCACAAGTGTTATGAATTCATTATTTGATTCAGGTAATTAAATATTGGATATCCTTGGTCTCACAAAAGTTTCCATTGTTTTACTATATCATAGTATTCTAATATTTTATGACACTAAATTTTAGATAGTTAACTGTAAGTCATTATCATCAAAATTACATGATATAAAGGCTGAAAATATTTACCTTTAAAAGTAATGGATATAATGCAATGTACAGATTTCACAAATAATAGTGACAAAAAGATTGATAATTTCCACAGTTTGATTGGCCTTTTTACAATATCACCTTACTCCATAACATTTTATCCTTTTAAGTGTACTTACGAATGTCATCTTCATGATAGATGACAGAGTGAAATGGTACATTCTTGTCCTTCAGATATCTCTCTGAGGGTTCGACATAAAATGTTCCTTGGTGGGTTTTAATGAAGCCCTCAAAGCGTCCATCGACCACAGAGCCATGAGTCAGAGTGCCCTCTTCACCTGCCAAACAAGAGAAAGGGAATTCCAAAAAAAAACATTACAAATCTCTCAGTGTTCAACCACTAAATACATGCTGCGATAAATAGATAATGTGAGTTATTAAAACATTTCAATCTAGTAAATAAATGCAAGAATCCCAATCAAGACCCAGCTGTTTCATAACTGGAGACAACCTATATCTTTAAAACACACATCTGGCTTCAGAGAGACAGTCTTATTAATTTTACTGATATTTGTGTCAGTTTTTAAAAAAATCATACTATTATTTTTATATGGTTCTAAGACAACCTTCCCAGATACAAATATAACATGGCAAAAACTTCCCAGTTCACCTTTTGTTTGTTAAGAGGCAATAAAGAGCCTTTTTCCTAATGTTTATTTGATGGAGACGTGGGGCAAAGAAGAATGAGGAAGGAAATTACAGCAAGTGGGGATAAAAAGAAAGCAGGATCTGCACTATTTAGTAATAGTGCATAGATACTGAAAAACCAGACAGATGAGTCAGACTAAAAAGATGAGCGAGCAGAAAAGTATTCACATCAATGCACTGCACAGCACATTTGGTTATGGTACAGCCTTTTTCCAAATTGTATTAAATTAATATCTCAAAGGTCTACAAACAAAACTTCTGAATGACAATTTGTGAAATGCCTATTTTATTTTCAGATTGTTTTAAATGTACTACTAAATATGACACAAAGAAAGTTAAAAGAAAAGAGAGATGAAGAAAAGAAGGATACCCAGGGGAAGGAAGAAAGAAAAGGGCAGAAGGAAAAGAGAATAAAACTAAAGACAGTTGTAGTGAGTAGAACACAATGGATAAATGAGCAGTGCAAGGAAGAAAAGACAAAAAAGAACAAAGAATAGAGTATATGATAGATAAACCAAAGAATATCTAGACTATGGGATAAGGACTAAATCTTAATATATTTTTTTCAACACTTGCACTGTTATTAGGTTACCTTATTTAAAAACCCTTAATGGGAAAAGCATCTCTTTTCAGGCAGTTACAATTAAAAAGGAAATTCCTTTGGATAAAGTCTCAGACATATTCTTGTGATCAGCTAAGTTTAGACTCAGCCGCTCATTAGCTGGACAATAGGCTTCCTCTCCACATTGCTTAAAGCAGGATTTCCCAAACAGTTCAGCAACTTAATTTGAAGGACAATGATAAGGATCTCAGGAATACTAACCAGGCTAAAGAGACCTCAACCACTGTCTGAACAAAAAGTGATCCCGTAGCCTTGATTGCAACAGTGCTGTCAATATCTGTGTCTAAGATAAAGAGACAGGCTCAGTAAGGAGTCGCATATCCACTTAGACCCAATTGGAACTATCACTTGTTGTCCTTAGCGTGATTTCTGAAAATATCATTTTCCAATTTGATCTGAAAATGCTTCTTTTTTTTAAATCTATTTTTAAAATACTTTTAGCATCTGGTCATAAAACCGTAAATAAGATTAAAGACAATCTTCCTCTGGGAACTTCAGATTTGAACAGTTACTAAAAAAGGTGTCGGTGTTTAATCCGCTTATTTTCTCATTTAATTATAATGTTCAGTCCACACAGTTTGTACTTTATACTTATTTGTTCATCAGTGTTCATAAATTGTTTCATTTTATTAATCATTTAGCCTTGCATTGCTATACTTAGTTCAGCAGTAAGTCAATTTATTAGTCCCATTATTTTTTTACCCATAACCCATATGTAAATGGCCAGTTTGTCTGGAAGAACATATCAAACATTAATAGGAAGGTTTGATTCCTGGATAAAGAAATGTTATTAATAAATCATGACCATCGTTAGATTTTGATCATAGGTAGAACTGATGGAGTTATTTACAAGGCAATTTGGAGAGGCTGTACATAGGAAACAATGTGAGGAAACAGATGGCCTTACCAAAGATTTCTCCACTGTATATATGTGACGTGTCGATGGGTTCCTCTTTTCCTGATATCTCAACAACAAGATCTGGAGAAAACAGCTTTGTATCCCTCTTCAGCCGTAAGTTGAAATGTCTAAACAAGGGAAGAAATAAACATTATAACATCAAAATTAATATCAATCACTATATAAAGTCTGTATTGTGAAACAAAACCCAAATTGCTTCAAACTGAAAGCCATTTGCTTTCAGTACCAACAACCACATGAGCTTTTCAAGCTTTTTTTTTCTGACTCTGAAGGCTGTTGCTTAAATATTCTTCCGTTTGGTAAACAAGAGATGTAAAAAAAAAAAAAAAAAGCCGCACTCAACGAGGCCTAAATGTGCCTCTAGCTTGACAGAAACATGTAGAGATGGATTTATAGTAATACACCCCTTAACAGATTTCCTTCATAATCACATTCTTGTTTGAATGTCAAGCTACATGACTCAACTCTGACTCACCACAGTCTCATATGATTGAGCCCCTGGGTGTTCAACCGTTTTACCTTCACTTACGTAGTTGCTAAAAATGGGGAAGATTCCTTATTTTTGTTTACATTTTTTCTAAACTACATTTCTCCTTTATTATTTTTTATTATTAGTTTCCAGAAGAAAAAATTTAAGCCATGCTTAGACGCCATTGTAGTGTCCGTATGCTCCTGCAAAAATACTAACCCTTCAGTGAGCTTTAGCGTAATTAGCAATTACCGGTGGTTCTGACAAGCAATGGTTCCCACAAATTAGAATATTAAGCATATTTATTTTCCAAAAACACAATATAAGTAAAAAAAAAAAGTAATAAATAAACAATTATGATAAAAAGAGACTAGATCACTGATGAATGAGCACCAGTACAGCATAAGATCAATTTAAGTCTGCCAACGTTTTCAAAGGAAACAATGTCAGAGTCGGACCAAGTACAGGATTTTCTCAGCAGATAAATGATTGATCTGGACAGATATTCAAATATTAATAATTATTCCAATTCACGTTCCCTCCACCTTACAGGCGGGTTTGGATTTCTTCTTTTACAAATTAAAAGGGGTTTATTCACATACTATGACTTTATGCCTGTAGCAAACAAAGGCTTTCTTATGGCACCCTTTTTTTATTTTCAAGTTTTATTTTCATGTTTTATACATTGTTTTGTTTTTGGTTCTGTTTGTAAAATTAGCCTTTTGAGTATTTACCTTAATAAGATCCCATGGCTGGGGTGACGGTATTGAGCGTGCATGCCACGAGTGAACAAGGAAGTTGTGGAGCAAAGCAACTCCCAGCGCCAATAAAGGAAGTCGAAAATCAAGAATGAAAAGGACCAAGATGTATTGGATGCCAGGAGAGACATGACAAATTTAGATGTCAGAAAACCATACGAACACAGGAATTCTGCAGACAAGTTGATGGACATGTGAGAGAGCACTGCCAGCAGATGGTGTGAAACGGTATATATGCATGCTGATTGCGCCGGGTGCAAAAAATAATTTTAGGCTCTAAAAAGACAAAGTAAATACTATCAAGAGAAATCCTGGTTGTATAATGGTTTATCTGAAGATTAATATATAGTTTTGCCATTTTCTTATTGGCATATTATGCAACTAGGTACATTAAATAATGTTGTAGCATTTCCTTTCTTTTTTCTTTTCAGAAAAAAACAAACAAAAAGCACACAAGGGCCAATTGGCATTTAGTACTGAAATTAATCAGTTTGAGTTGATTTTCACCACACCCAGAAAATTAAAGTAAAGAAGGAGGTTAGATTGAGAGAAACTGAACAAAGAGACAAAGGCTCAATGGTGTAGAAACAGGTGGAACAATCAATGAATGTAATATAATCTCCTGCATAATTTTAAAATGATTCGCCAATTACCACTCCATAAAAATCCTATGTTGATTTGTTGTCCTCATGGCCATGGCAATACAATTATGCTGTAATAACATCAATCATCAAGCAATTGCCCAAAAAGTGTGAACAAAGATTGGCTTTCACAACACATTTCTTTGGACTCTTACATGTGAGAAACCAAACAACAACAGCACAGTAGAGCCAGCAGCTCACCTGTACAGTTTCACTTCAACATCCAAGGACACACCTTTGATGACCAAAATGTTGAGAGAGGACAGAGCGGAGTGGTATATGCTGTTCAGTGCAGCGAGGAATGCTCTGATCTTTATATTGGCGAAACAAAACAACCTCTCCACAGACGCATGGCCCAACACAGAAGAGCGGCCGCCTCTGGACAAGACTCCGCAGTACACCTACACCTTGTGGACAAAGGACATTCTTTTGAGGACCAGAATGTCCATATTCTGGATAAAGAAAATAGGTGGTTTGAGAGGGGCGTGAAGGAAGCCATCTATGTTAAGAGAGAAAAACCAACTTTAAACAGAGGTGGTGGACTCAGATTCCAGCTTCCAAAAACATACAATTCAATCATAGACATGATCCCTTCCAGATATCACCAAACCCCCCCACCCCATCACAGAGGAACGAGGGACCCACCCGCCCCAGCCGGTGAACAATACCTCCTTAACGACCAACCCTTAACAATCATAGACAGGTTTCAGGTATCATAGGAGACAATCACCCCCCCCCCCCCCCCCCCCCCCCCCTTAATGGCAATCCCCCCTTTAACGACCGACCCCTAGAATCATAGACAGGTTCAGATATTACAGGCTAACGATGGAACTAACGACCCATTCATCGGTTACCATTGCATGTTTCCAAGCGATACAAGGCGTTGTCTATATAAGACTCAAACTCACTGCGGATCCAGACATTTGAATTGAGAAAGCTTCCTGGAGAGGTGGCGAAACGTCTTCAAATCTTGAAAACCAAGTCCAGTGGATATTTTTTGAATTTTTACGGGTTGACTATGACCTGGATGACTGAGAACCTTCATCAGCATAGAGGACAGATGGTTTGAGAGAGGGGTGAAGGAAGCCACCCTTGTTAATAAAGAAAAGCCATCACTGAGCAGAGGGGGAGGACTGTGGTTTTAGGCTCCAAACATCTACAACTCTGTCCTGTAACTCTTTTAGAGGAAGTTACACAAACACATTGCTCATGTTTCAAATGGCAAAACACGAAACCCAAAACAACAGAGTCCAGCGATCCACAAGAATGACAGGTTGGTTAATGATTTGCATCTGACTTGGAATGTGCTTCAGAGGTTGGGCCTCCAGGTGCTTAAAGACATCAGTGCTCCAACTACAGATTGCTCTAGTGCGACCCGACAGAACTGACGAAGACTCCGAATAGGTGGGGAAACGTCTTCAGAAAAACTTAGCGAAAGTCTGGATCCCTTAGATTTAAGCGAGTTTTATGGTTGCCATGACAGGGATGACAGAATTTGCATGAGCATCTTGTCATATGCACCAACTTTGCAATTACAACTGATTGTGACAACAAAAGCAGCTGCTGCGAAATAACAGACATAACTTAAATGTTGAAGATGTTTTCACAGTAAAATACATGTCAACCAAAAACAACAAAAACAAGGTCAACATAGCCAGAAAACTAGAGTAACATTACTGTCAATCCTAAAAAGGAGGTCAGTTGCAACATTATATGCGGTTAACAAATTTTAGTTAACAAATTGAGTAGTTTGTACAGTATTTAAAAACTGAACGTAGGTATACTGGGCATAATTGTAATGGAGGTGGTTCATTCCAGCTTTACAGGCTGAACTGGTGTAATTGTGTGAAATAAGTATGATTACCAGAGGCATCCATAAAGAACAAGCAAGAAAACACAAAACACTGGATTTTATCAAGATCCAGGGCTGGGCAAATTAAGATTTCATTTTTGGAAAATATACATTTATTTTACCAATCCACTCTTTGGGTTTCCATAGCTCAGAGTGACATTAGTTCATTACTTTTTGTTCTTACATTGGTACTCAAAACTGACAATTTGCTGAATGTTTGCTACCACTACACCAAGAAATCAAAGAGTGATGCTGCTTGCTTTATGTAACCTTTTCATGGTGAGATTACTACCAATAATTATGTTTTCATAAACAGGTTAAATTGTGTTAAAATAACAATAGATGTTGAAACAACTTTTAATAAGGGATTAATTTTAACAATCTTCTCACCTGAAATTGTTGAGCAATATTTGCTAATTAATATTGTCTACAGTTGCTTCCTGTGTAGGAAATTAAATTGGCTTTTTTTCCTTTTATTTATGGATAAATTAAATTATAGATTGATTAGTACTTAAAACTCTTTTTTTTTTTAGAACATTGGAATGTTTTGCTGTATCTTAACTAGATCAAGAGACTTTAAATCAACTAAAGAACCAAAATAACTCAATGTAGTCCTGTCACTTGAACACAACAGGTATTTAGGCAAATTAAAGGAGAATTCCGGTTTTTTACACTTTTAGCCCATTTTCTGTAGTGTCCAGGATGAAATCGAATGATCGACACCAAAAGTTTGACAATTGCTCCTGTCTCTGCTTTTTGGCTCATTTAGAATCCACCCCTGGCTGCTTCATAATGGCTGCCATAGTGCATGTCTGATAATGTCCTTAAAACAACCTTAAACGTTCTTTTTTTTAAATATCCTACTCACCGGGTCGTCAGCGCTGTTCAATGACGTTCCAAAAAAAGTTTCGTGAAGAAAAAACGTTCCTGTAGTGTTTTATTTAGCATTTTGTAAATCCCATTGAGTTCTGTTGGAATAGTCAATATTCCCCTGCCACCGGAAACGGAAATGGGGCCTGTTTACACAGTTGTAGTCTTTTCGCTTCACTCTGTGTACTCCGACGTCGAGAATCAAGAATCCACCTTTCGTATTCTATTTTCAGAGTTTTTTAAAGTGTTTAACAGAGACGTTAGCACCTCGACGTCGGAGTACACAGAGTGAAGCGAAAAGACTACAACTGTGTAAACAGGCCCCATTTCCGTTTCCGGTGGCAGGGGAATATTGACTATTCCAACAGAACTCAATGGGATTTACAAAATGCTAAATAAAACACTACAGGAACGTTTTTTCTTCACGAAACTTTTTTTGGAACGTCATTGAACAGCGCTGACGACACGGTGAGTAGCATATTTTAAAAAAAGAACGTTTAAGGTTGTTTTAAGGACATTATCGGACATGCACTATGGCAGCCATTCTGAAGCAGCCAGGGGTGGATTCTAAATGAGCCAAAAAGCAGAGACAGGAGCAATTGTCAAACTTTTGGTGTCGATCATTCGATTTCATCCTGGACACTACAGAAAATGGGCTTAAAGTGTAAAAAAACCGGAATTCTCCTTTAATAATGCCTGTAGCAGTTATCGGGAGGGAACTTCCTCTCATTTCCCTGGATGATTTTTGTATCTCCTGTGGAATCCTAAGTGAAATGGAAGTATTTCATATGCTTTTCTCCTGCTGTCCAACGTTTGAGTCATTATTGATCTTAACTCACAGCACTGTTTATAAAAATGTGACTTTCTACTAAAGTTCAGTTAGTTAAATGTTTTATTATTATAAAGAAACTAAAAGAAAAGTTATTTTGCAACTAGCTATGCCAGTTATGTCGATTGATTTTCCCCCCAGACTAGGTTCTTCAACTGAAACATGAGCAAATTAAACTCCATAATATATATTTTTATATAATACACTTTTAGCCAATTTTAGTGGAAGCAATTAATACTGTATAACTTGGTTGAATAAATTAAAAACTGTTTTTTTTTTTTTTTGCCGGAAAGAAAAAAAAATATAAGAGACTAGATTTTTAAGACATATCGTCCAGCACGTCTGGTTATTTAACCCTTTTTATTTATTTATTTTTTCTTCCCATAATTACTCCGGATTTGGCAAGGATTGTGATTTTTTTTCCTATTTACCAAACTCCTACTTCCAATGTAAACTGACTGGAACAAAAAAAAGATAAATGGGTCAGCTGACAAAACTATTGTGCAATAAACACAAGGACATAATACGCATTATCATAAAGTGAGAGCTCAAGAGTAACTCTTTTCTCTTTGGTGTTTAATACTCAAAAGGATGTTTGTGTCGGTTGATTTTATATTTCATTTCTTTGCTTTTGTGCAGCACTTTGCTACTACTGGCTTTTTAAAATGCTATATAAATCAAGTTTTAAGTGACCTCAGTCGAAATAGGATGATTCAAATTCAAGCAACAGATTAGGAGGTTTTAATAGAGGAAGGAGGTGTGTTTGCAATGAACTCACCTTCCATGAGCTTGGAAATCCAAGTGCACCATCTTGTCTTGAGGAAGAAGCGCCCTTTTGGCTCTCTGATGACTGCTGTGAAGAGCTTCTGTGTCGTATGATAAACCTTCATAATGGCGAATATATTTGTTCAACGGGTTTTCAAACTGACCTGAAAGACAGTTCAATAAAACATTAATTCTCAATTTAATCTAGAGATTTGCTGAGACTGCAACATTTTTTTTATTTTATTTTGAAACATCTCAGAAAATTTTGTTTAAACATTTCAAATAGATCTACAGTTAAAATGATTAAATGAAGAGGCCTTTGGAGGCATGCTCAACAAGGCGTCACTCCCAAGGCAAGATTAAAAGGCTTATTCATTTTACTGCCTCAAACCCACAGAGTTAATCCATCCATCTCTCATTCCAATCGCTTTCTTTGTTCTTTTTACAAAAACACAAAGTCCTCAGTTTAACAGAAGGGGAGCAGAGCACGGCACATGATGCACATCAGGTGATTGGGGGGTCTGTTTCCAGAGAACAGCGTGCCACTGTGCGAGTCAAGTGAATGAAGCTGTTCCCGGCAGTAAGCTACATTCCAAGGAAACGCCGAATGTAATCTAAATACATTTCTGCTGGAATTGTAGCTGAAGTTTGAAAAAGAATGACATTACATTTGAGAATTTATCATCATGCAGAGAGCTATGATTTCTTTACATCAGTTCACCTTGGTGAAAATGATAAGAGTATACACCATAGATGGTGTAATAAGTAGATGATAGACAATATTGGCCATATTACTAATAGAAGACATTTACTGAAAACAATGAAAAGAAAGAAGCAAAGAAACAACACAGAATCTATAAATGCCCCGAAAGGTTTTGTGCAGATATATTGTCTTCCTTTGAATCTTTTGAACCAGACTGTCCAATACTTGTAAAGACTATAGCACATAAAAACTTTAAATTTAAGAAAATTTGAGTTTTGCTGCATGTTGGGGTGTTTATAGAAAAGCAGGGGGAATTAATCAAAGGGGGAAACAATTCTGATTTCCTTATTTTGTATTAGGCAACTGAAATGAATCATTTCACCGATTGGTTAGTGCATCACTCCCTGTTGTAAAAAAATATGTTTACCACAAAACTGAGTTAGTGACATTTATCAAAGCAGGAAAACTAAGAGGAAATATGGAATTTTTAAGATTGTCTAAGTGTGTTTATCTGAAATGTCTGAGGTTACATGGATTGAGTAGTGAGTGTGAAGGGCCAGTTAAAAACTATACACGTAATCGTTTCAAATAAGAAATAATTTAAAAACTGGGATGGGAGGATGGGAGTCAAGAATCCCAATACAGACAGGGAGAGGCTGTAGCAGGCAAGTAGCAACATGTTCATGAATACACAGAGAAAAAGCCACATGCCTCTATCACACATCTACTTAAGTTAGAATAATGTAAACAAATTAAGCCGACCAAATACCAGGATCATCAGAATTGATTTTAAGTGGAGGCTGTAATTTTTTTTAACTAGCTGGAATGATAATTTGCTGTAAAAATAAATATCATCACTCTGAATTGCAAGATCTGAAAAGGGTGTGATAACATTTCCACAGTGGAACGGTGACTTATGATTGGCCTTTTTAAATTGAATGTCTGCTGTAGCTCAAGGAAACCTTTAAAATACAAAGAGCTTTTGTTCTTTATTGCTGTTGGTTAATGGGAAAAGTGATAGCTTATCAAGCATGATAAATACATTTCGTTTTATTTCAACTGTGAGGCTTTTGAAGAAGGGAAAAAGAAACTTCTGTTGACTACTGAACCAAATCCAAAATATCTCTGTCGGGCTTCCTTTTTTAAGCTGTTAAATTGCAGACCTGCATAGCTCAAAATTATGCATTTTATTTACACTTGTTTTATGCGTTTTTATTTTACTTAGCATTTAGCCATCTAAAATTGTACACCTATATTCAAAAAATTATAATTAATTTTTGTCTTTACTGTATGTTTTCAGGTTATACAACAAAATAAAAAAAATGCTTTGATTTGACAAGAAAATGGATACACTGAATTAAACAATTTTTGTAGCAAGTCATTAAAAATAAATACATAACTGAACAAAACTATGTAGAAACTATATAGGATATCATATCGTATTTATTAATAATAGAAAAACTAAAGTAAGCCAATTAAGAATTCCTTTGGACCAGAATTAAGGGCCGATGTAAAAGATTGTGGACCTCCAGGACGTATCGATTAGTTATATTCTAAAAAATTATCATGTATCATAACAAAGAAAAAGCATCAGATTTACATTGACACACAAAGATACCATAAGCTATTTGAAAGAGACCAAGTAGTAATCAGATAGAAAAATTAACAACTTTGTGTTTCTGATGTGAAGCAACAAAGCCTTGCTCTTATTTTGTTTTTTTACACACTGATTAACAGAAAGAAATAAGGAAAACAGATTTTTATTTATTTCGGTTTCACTGTAAAAGCTGCAGCATTTGCAAGGATTGCTGAGCTATCTGTTTCCAGTGCCTTTGTGAAGTGCAGTTCTACACAGAAAGGAAATCGCTGACGGCAAGCGAGGAAGTGGTAACAGCATGGATCTTACTCATATGCAGGGGAGCTGACTGCAGTTTGACAACAAACACGAATCACATTACAAGCAACAGTAACATTGTAATAAGGTCTGCACTTAACAAGATGTAATTGACAATAACAAAAAGTTTTATGACAAATAACCTAAAAAGACATAAATTCAGATTTCAAGGCCCCTCACCTGTACATGATTTTTATTGTCTGGCTCTGCATTGAGTATTTAAAAGAGAAAAAAATAATAAAAACAACAACAACACACCAAAGAGCTTTTTTTAGAATGGCTTATTCGAGGTGTAAAGACAGAATCGACGTGTGATGATAAAAAAGTGGAGGGCATTATGCAAAACAATTGTAGCATGATAGAAGAAGCGACCACACTTTCCTGTGTCGTTGCGCTCGCATTCCTTTGAGATCAACCATGTTTTAAGTTTTTCATCCCTGTACGTTATAAACCATTAATGTTTCACATTTATTTATCTTTTTCTATGCAACCTAAAAGGTTCCTGCCACAGATACAATGTCTTTAAACACTTTTAACTCCTTCTTAGCACATGTACATGACCTGCATGTTTAAGAAAATCCTTTGGGTTCTTTTTTTTTTCCTGTTTTCGATGAAAACTTAAGTTAGAGAATTAAGAGGGAACATGCCGATGAAGATTCTCAGTCATCCAGCTCATATTCATTCAAAAAATTAAAAACAATCCACTGGACTTTTAAAGTTTGCTTGCCATTCATTTTAAAATTAAAAAGCTTCCTGGATGGGAAGCAAAACATCTTGAAACCCGGAAAAAAAAGTCCAGTGGATTGCTTTTTTAAACTTTTTTGGAATAAGAGGGAACATGTTTTCAGGTGCCACATACACCATGTGAGGGATGTAAAGAAAAAAAAATTTAAGCAACCATTTTTATTCAAATAAGGACGAGTTTTTTTAAACTTTTATTATCTGGAAAGGTGTCAGAAATCAAACATTCAGCATTCTTAGTTTTGATGAGTGTCAAAGAACTGAAGTGAAGCAAAGTTCTTTTTGTAAAAGTATAAAAGACTAGAACCAATACAGTACAGTTAGATTAAATTACCAAATTTTGAAGATTTACTGAGTAACTAATAAAATACTTGAATAAGCCAAACAAGAATATTGCAAAGGATCTCAATAAGTTATATTTAACTTACATTCTTGTTTAACGATTTCAAAGGTTTGAAGAAAGCATGTAATTTTAATTTCTATTTAGTCTTTGCATTGGGTTTAGAATGGGGAGTGGCGGCCTAGTGGTTAGGGCACAGAGCTTGGAATCCTGAGGTTCTGAGATCGAGCCCCGCTCCCTCAGACAGGGCCTCTGAGCGAAGACCCGTAACCCCACACTGCTCCCCAATGGGGAGTAAACGATGGGTCAAATGCAGAGGTACATTTCTCCAGTGTGGGATCAATAAAGTTTATTTATTATAATTATTACTTACGGTAGTTTAAGAATGTTAAAAAAAGTTTAACTCTTAGACTTAGACAGACTATGCCATTTTGTACACAATTTTGTTCACTACAGCTCTCAAGATATTTCCTTTTTTAAACTCCAGGTACGAGGGTTACGGCAAAAGGGATAAGATATCATAACTACAACTTTTTCATCAAAATGATAATTATTTCAAAAATGAAACATCCAAAGAATATCCAGATTAGTAGGGCAGAATAAGTTCACAGCAAATGTAAAAATTCTTACAGGCAATAATGTATGCACTCTTGCTATGTAAATTTGTTACATCACACAGTGGAAGGAATTGTGCTGTAATTAATGTTCATTGACTGTTCAAACTTCTATAAGTAGTTTTTCAAAAAATGTTTGCATAAAATATAAGGGGTTTTTAAATAATTGTAATTTTCTACCAATCTGATGGTTAATTGATCTAAATAATCAAATAAATTCAAGAAATGTGTGTTGCTGTGCTCATGTGATTATTTATTAAATAACTGAGGAGCTAAAAAGGTCTTTTAGAATTGAATAGAAAATCCCTTTATTTTTCCACAATGAGGAAATTCTGGTGTTTACAGCAGCAAAATGATTAGAGAAAAATGGTCAGATAAATGTGGACCTTAGAAAAATGTATAAGAATAACATAACAGTGAAGAGTTAAAAGATAAAACAATAAAATACTGTACTGTAAAGTATTTTAACAATATAAAACCGTGCACCTTGAGAATAAATAACCAATATACAGCTACGGACATTTTTACAGTAATTGAAAAGGTGGTTTATTTTGTCAATATGATTTTCGATTAAATGTGATTTATTAATCACAGACCTTGACATTAACTTGATTTAAAAAATGTAAGGGCGCCTCACCACTAACTACTTACTTCTGGTAAGAATGCAAATCTATCATAAAAGGATCTGCAGGCAGAAATAGGAGGTCGAAGTCACCAAAGATGGAATCCATGTGTTGCCATATGTACCTCCATGATAAGAGCTGAAAATGGCTTCTTCTGGACGTTTCTCAGTAGCCTGACGTAGTCCGACTCAATTCTAGTCAGAATATGAGTCTGATACTGCTCCATAGAGCTGTGATTATGGGGCGTGTTTTGAACGGACCAGGAAAAAAAATGCCTCTGCACTCAATTGGATAGACCTACAACCAATAAGAGCAACGGAGTGCGGGACGTATGTTAAGCGAGGCATAGTTGTTGTCCACAAAAATCAAAGCGTGCAGTTTCACGCCTAGAATAAGAAGATGAGACTTGATTGCGTTTCTCTGTTCCTCTTTTAAAATTAATTTGCTGTCGATATCTTCTAGAACAGACCTAATAGCAGAATCTACTTACCTAAACTGTCCAGCGGCAGCCATTATTGTTGTCACCCAAGCGCGCATTGGTCACGTGGTTGATTACGTTACTGTTGGTCATCTGTCCATCATCGTATAAAGCCCGCCCTGACAATTTGATTGGATCGCCTGACAGTGGGCGATAATACTCGCGCTACTATGGAGCAGAGCCAGACCGAACTTCCCGACCTCAAACTTTGTGGGCGGGACTAAGCTCGGAATGGCACCCAGGCTAGTTTCTCAGATCCAAGCAAAAGAAAAAATAAAAGCAAAAGAGGGTGAACCAGACATGGGCAATGTGGAGTCAACAAGTCATCTCCATGTCATGTATTTAATCTACCCAGCCAATTAACCAGGTGAGTCCAATCTGCACAGGTTAATTCACGGTGAAGATTGGACTCACCTGCTTCAGTGGCTGGGTAGAGCAAATACATGACATGGAGATGACTTGTTGACTCCACATTGCCCATGTCTGGGGTGAACATTTGTCGAACTTCTGAGTGTTGGTACCGACTTAAAGAAAAAAAAAGAGCCTCCACATTCTCACAGAGGTACCGCCTTCTTTCTAGAGAGTTCTGTTTTATCAAGGTTAGCATCAGCCAATCTGGCAAATGGCATGCAACAGAAGCAAGTGACCACAAATGTGCCACTTAGTGGTTATCAGAGGTTAAACTTTTAGATATTTCAAAATATATATATTTATATAAATGCTATGTTCAAAATACCTTCAGAAAGTCACAAAAAAATCTATTTTTACCTATAAACACAACAGAAGAAAACAACTGCACCCTTTCTAGCATCTCTATGACCAATATTCCAAATGACCTTATTCTGGACACTGGATATGCAAGCCAGTTTTACTGAAAATCCCATGAACTTCTCTTCAATCCCAGTTTCAAATATCAATATCAAATGGGTTTTCTAATAAAAATTAATACATTTAAGAGATGCATTTGGGTGAATGTAATAAAATGTATGTGTCCCTTAGAAAAAGTTCAGTATACATCCTTATTCAGCACATCAAAGAATGTTCTTTTTTTAAGTGGAATAAATAACTTAAATTGGAAGTAAACATATAGAAATTGATGCTGTAATCTCTAATATTTTTCATAAACCATGCAACTAGCTATTATCCTGGAATTATAACAAGTTCAATGTTGGTGTATAGCCCCAGTGTGCACATCTATTGTTGTACACAGTGGTCCTCAGTGTGTGTGGGGGGGGGGGGCTGCCCATACATTAGTGGGAGTGTTGATGAGAACCCCATTGATTCATGGACTGAAAAAATCTCCATTTGGATTTTAAAAAAAACTTAACTCTTTGCTGTAAATACCGGGTATTGTGTTTGGAGGGAACCAGGTACTTCTCAATCCCAATGTGGTTTTAGAAGCACTTCATAAAAGCCCTGAGGTGGCCATAACAGATGTCCAGACCTGGATCTGAATTACATTTTTGGATAGCTCATTAGATGACTGTGCACAGCCCCTCCAACCCAACCTAATAGAGCTTGAGATGCACTGCAAAGCAGAATGGGTAAAAACTGCCTAAAGGTAGGTGTGCCAACTTTTTGGCATCATACTGAAAAAGACTTAAGGCTGTAATTGCTGCCAAAGGGGGATCAACTAAGTATTAAACAAAGCCTGTGAATACTTAGTTTTAAGCCCTATTGATCATTTTCAGTTTCAAAAGTCTCAAAAGAGAAGAAAAATCACACTGTCATAGTAGTGTAATGTGTCTAAAGGTAAGGAATTATAATATCAGCATTCATTATACATGTCAAGAGAAAAATTTATACTTTTCTAGTTTTCCTAGTAGTGGAGATATAACAGTAATTTAAGTTTTTTTTTTAACTAATGTCATTGAACGTACTTACACTGCTAATCAGAAGGGTTCACTAACCTATCCCCAACTGGTAGAGCTGAGAGGTTAGTTTAGGTGTTATTTAACATGCATTGACCTATATTAGTCACATTATTTTACCAAAAAGCGAAGGTAAATAGCAGCAATCTGAAAACCTCCATTTTAACCGAAAGATGGGTGGCATTAGCGCAAAGACTTGTGAGCTTTGCCCTATGCAATAAATACTATGTCTCCTTTAAAGTAACTGCAGTGACACAAGCGTCATTATTTTCACTTATGAACTGTCAACATTTTGGCACCTTTCTATTAAGGTGTGGGTCATATATATTGGTTAAAACTGATAGTGACGCTTTGAACTGTCAGCTATAACTCTTATCAATATTAGCCACCTAGCTAGCAAGTTAGAAAACACGGAGAACAACCGTTTGATCCGTTTACAACTATTATTTAAACTGTTTTCCCCAGAGTAAGTGAATGACAAACTTACCTCTAATATACGGAAGGCAGCAAGACATGAGAAATAACTTCAGTAACGTCATCTCAGAATACCGTTTGGCACTAGTTCATTAAAATAAAAATATACGGCGAAAACAATGAGTGCCTCTCGTTTCGGTTCGTCGTTTCTCACGAAGCGCTTGTCTCTTCGCCCACTTCCTGGTTAGATGACTCCCATAACAAACGCCCTCCCTTCCGGTGTTGTCTGCCAAGTCAGGGCGTAAACACCATAATAAAGGCTAGATTTCTCGTCCGCGCTGCTGGCCAATGGGGGTCGACGTCCGCACGTGGCGGCCATCTTGCCACAGGCAGCTCGCTCATTCGTAACATTGTGTTTTAAAGGCGCATGTACTTAAATAACCATAACTTCCTGAATTGTCTAATTGTTTGGTTTGTTAAACAAAAGTCAGACATGTAGTTATGATACTGCACACTTATGAATAATTATAACCATGGTATTTCATATGAAAAGAACATTGAATAGAACATACAGGTGCAATAAATATACACATGCACAAGGTATTTATGTTAAATCAATATATGCTAATAAAACTCAGTGTACTGAATGGCAACATGATATATAGATATATCTATAGATATCTATATAGATATAGATACCTATATATATAAATATGTGTATATATATATATATATATATATATAAATATGTATATATATAAATAAAATTATGTATATATATATATAAATATGTATATATACATATTTATATATATATTTTAATATGTGTATATATATATATATATAAATAAACACTTTTATTTGGGTGTGATTAATTATTTCACAGTCCTAATTTATTTATATTTACATACATACTTTTATAATATGAATATTATTGTTATAATAAAATATGGAATAATGACAGAAAAGGCTTATTGTGTGGCAACCTCTTGGTGTAGCAGCATAATCCAGGTTTCAAATTAAAGGTAACACTTTGAAGTTTCATGTAGACTATTCGGATTATATATCAGGGGTAATTACACAAAAGTTCCTATTTTTAAACCATTATAAAAGTGACATTTATTTGCTATTAAAATTGGTACAATAGTCCCCTTCACAAGTATATATAGATGTAGCATGTTGAAATCCCCACCTACACTACTGTGATGGTATACACATGGAAGACAGAGATTTAAAAAATGACCCAAAAAACATAGCTTGGCTAATGCCCTTTGAAAAGGAAGGTTTTATTGAGCTTCTGTGTAATGTACAAGAGACCGTTGTCCACAAGGCCATCAAAGCGGACAGGAAGGTAGCTGTGGTCATGTACTAGTGCAGGAATGTCAGCAAACGGGGATGGAAGATCTTCTCCTCCTGCTTACACATTATATAACCTGCAGAAACAAAAACAAAAGTGACCAACAACAATTCACGGTGTATAAGATTGGTATATCAATATGTGATTAAATTTCAATGATACACATGCCCTTTGAAGATGAGCTGGAAAGTTGAAAATGTTTGGCACAACACCATCTTTAAGTTGTCCAAATGAAACTAATACAAACTTATAAAAGCTTTGAGTCAACAACAATCTTGTAATACTATTATGTCATAGCAAAAGTCTGGCATCTTCCTTTTAATAAACCCAGCAAATTCCTGTAACATAATGTAAGATGTGTTGACAGACCAAATCGATTGGAAATCATGTTAAATTCTGCCTCTTCCACTGATGTAAAGTTGCTGGTTAACGTTAGCAGCTAGCTAAACTGTAACGTTAGCTGCTAACTTACTAACGTTAGGTCTCACTTTGCAGCTTCTTGTTATTAGCCAGCTAACGTTAGGCTAATAATGAAAATACAACAACACTCAGATTATTGTTATTAGCCAACTAATAACTACAACCACATCCACAAATATTGTAATTTACACCAAAGATTAATTGTCATACAATCGTTATTGGTGTCAGTAAAACCTATATAATTGACTAATAATCTCAGCCTTGATAACTTGCGCAAGTAGCCGTGATGCACAACTATGCTGCATGATTAAGTCATTTTTCGACAAGAAAATCTGCAATTTCGACATGTTCAAGCATCAAGAATAATAGCCACGTTCATAATGTTTGTAAGAAACCAAACTGTTTGTAAATCCGTCAAGAATTCAGTGAGATAAGAGTATTTGTGTTTGTGCTGATCACTCACCTTACATTAGGTACCACAGAGCACAACAGAAAGCCTGCCTGAGGTAAGATGGCCGCCGGTGATGACGTTTGAGACTCCGCCGTAAGACATCTAGCTATGGTAAACACACCCATTCAATTAGAAAACACAGCAACGAATCACCGTTAGAGACTATTAGATTAGGATATACAAAAAAAGTGTGGTTGAAACCACAACATATGAAAGCTGAGACCGGTGCTATTGTTTGGGTCCAGTTTTATAACTACGTAGTTAAAAAAAGAAGACTTCCGGATTCACCGACGGGTTACTTTTGATTGGTTGATACATGGGTCGTAATCGTGTAGTGCCAGAGATCTTCAACAGAGGGTCCGCGACCCCTAGGGGGTCCAAGGAGGTACTGCATGGGGGTCGCGAAAGTTTTGGTCGATCAGACCTTTTTTTATATTCCCCCCTGCAATTTTTTCCACTAATTGACTTTTTTATATTACACATCACCATGAATTCAACACACTGTAGTAAACAGATAAATGGAGGCAGAAGATGACTTTCAGTCATCAATACACACATACAGCGACACACAGGAGCTCTTTCAAGCTGGGCACCGTTTCATTCACAACACCTGTCCCATCAACCAGGAATCAGAATCAGAAATACTTTAATAATCCCAGGCTGAAATCACTTTCATTACATTACTCCATATGTAAAAGAGTGACTATGGTCTGATAAAACACAATTTCATATAATATATATAATTAAGGGGTCCCTGCTCCATCTCGCCATCAGTTTTGGGGTCCTTGGCCTGGTAATTGTTAAAGACCCTTGTTGTAGGTGTTTTAGGAGGGGGGCAAAATGACCTCTTGATAGCCCATTTATATTAAATTTCCGTGAATATCTACAAAATCCTAAAATAATATTTATCAGGTTTGAGATCAGAAATAAATGGCTCCTATAGATTTTAAGGAAATCCATCCATCCATTATTTGACACGCTTGTCCCAATTGGGGTCGCGAGGGGTGCTGGTGCCTATATCCAGCAGTCAATGGGCAGAAGGTGGGGATTTTAAGGAAATCATTCAATTCAATTCAGTTTATTTATATAGTGCCAATTCACAACACATGTCATCTCAAGGCACTTTACAGTTCAACCAGATCATACAGTCAAATTGATGGAAAGTTTTCTATCTAAGGAAAACCAGTTGATTGCTACGACTCATTGACTCGAATGCAATCCTTCACACTAAGCATGCTTGTAGCGACAGTGGAGAGGAAATACTCCCTTTTAACAGGAAGAAACCTCCAGCAGAACCAGGCTCAGTGTGAGCGGCCATCTGCCGAGGCCGACTGGGGTTCAAGGAGACAGAAGCAGAGATACAAAAAGCAGCTGTAAAAGGCGGCCCCGTCCAGGAAAAACACAGCCAGGCAGATGAGCTCCAAAACAACTCCCATGTCAGAGAATGAAGAGAGCACATCAAGCCAGTCACAGTCAGAGAAACAGGACTACACTGGAAACACAGGCCAATCTCCAACATCTATAAACAAAGGTCTGAATGGCAGCAGCACAGCTGATATTTCTCTCCAGGGTGGTGTCACCGCCAAACAAGAACAGACCAGATGAAGCTACTATGAGAAAAGGCAGAGAGAGCAGAACGTTAGAGATTAAACTAACAGATTCTGCAGAGTGGAAGAATAGAGATAGAATATAGTAAAATGATGAAAAAGTGGTCCCTATGTAATGTATATTTAATCCTATAACACCACAAGATTGCTTCCTGATTTAACTCATTCTATAGCTGTTTGACAAATACTTAACTTTTAATCTGTCACTTCACTTTCCAATACATATTGAGAAATTTGAAATCTATTCTGTGTTTCTACACTTGACCAACCTGGCGATCACTCTTTGAATGATTGAACAACAATATGCCTCTATTAAACAACAGTGGGAAAATACTTTTCTCCTTAAAAGACCCTTTACACTAGAAGTTTATGTATTTAAATGTTAATCATCTATTTTGCTTCGGTGCCGTGGCAGGTGCCACTGCCATGTTTTGCACCTGTCCCTGCTGAACAACTCTCCCTTTAACAGAGTCTTTGCTGGCCGCTTGTGGTTGTAAGTGCAAACTGTAAGTCTTTTTTTTGGTATCGTCATATTATTTCAAGTTGCCTTAGATACTAATGTCATATCCTTGAAGGCTAATTGGCTTCTTAAATTTGATGCCAAAAACTGTGATTTGGGGTTCAAGTTCAGGAAATGCACTTTGATTACTTAATTGGGTTAAGAGTATGGGTTTGGGTACTCAAATAAATAGATGTCAAAGTGATGCTCCAGTATGGATGTGCGTGAGCACATTTATTTAGAGTTCACACAAGTAAATGGCAACCAATACCAATTTAGTAATCACTCAGGCACCAATATCAGTTATACCACCATGGATTCTACCAGAAGCAATAGTAGATATGTCACTAATGGAAAAGAAACCATATAAATCGTACAAAGTAGATATCAATTTAGTACAGTTACATTGAGACAATTATTATGAATATATTCAATTTATACAGATGCATCAAAAATAACAAGGAAAAAAGGAAAAGCTTTTGTAATACCAGAATTCAATATAAAAATAGGAAAACAAATTTCAAATGGATTATCAGTATACAAAGAGGAAATGTTGGCAATATTATTAGATTTACAATGGGTAGAAGACATAAAACCATTAAAAACAGTAATTTGTTCAGATTCAAGCTGTTCATTATTTAGTTTAGAATATAATCAGTCAGATGGTATTTCATACATTAATCAGAATAAAAAATATGGGTTTGATTGTTGTATTTGTGTGGGTTCCAGCACATATTGGAGTAGAAGGAAACAAGAAGACAGATAAAATGGCAAAGAGGGCAATTCAAAATCCTATTAGTTTTACAGTTAAAAAAAAGTAAATCGGAGGAAAAGAGTATTATTAAAGAAAAAATGGCAAAAAGGTGGGATAAAAAAAAAAAAGAATGTGTTTTTATAAAAATCAGAGGATAGTAGGAAAAAGAAGAAACGGAAGACCAAATAGAAAG